CAGGGACAGGCACAAAGTGACATCTGATGAGATGAGAGCCTCCTCTTACATCTGTGCTCTACAGTATCCCCATAGCTTCCCATTCTATATACTATCTGGTCCTCCCTCTTAGGGATGTCACAGTCCAGAAGGCCTGGGTTCAAATCCTAGGACCACTCAGATAACCAGAATTTCATTAGAGTCGTACACCAGGCTGGGGCAGGAAGCGAGGTTATTTTCGGGTGGCTGCTCAGCTTTTCTACAGCGGTGGATGCCGGGGAAGAGGTGGGCAAGAAATCTGCCGTCCTGCTTTCTAATTTAAAAGCATAATCCTCTGGGACCTAGATCACTTGTCCGAGGAAGTCAGCAAAGTGGCCATTAAACCAAAAATGAAAAGAGAAGCGTGCATGAGGATACCAAGAGCCTGCACCCCAGAGGCAGAGAGCCAGTGTGGACCAGCCAGTTCTGAGGGAGTAGCACAGAGCCTTCATGCTCTGCTAGGCCCTAGCCTCTATGGCTTCCTTAGAGCCTGTGCTGACATCCTCAGAGGCCGAGTGAGAAAGAGGATCATGGGAGATGCCCAGGAGCCAGCTGCTTGGGAAGGCTGGGCCATGCAGAGCCACACATAGACAATGTTTAGGATGGCAGGGAAGGCTCCAGGCTTCCCTTGGCATCTCCTGCCCTATAGGAAGGAAGGCAGGCACTTCGCTGTCTCCACCTTTAGCAAAGACATCCTTGAGGGTCACTGAAGCTTAGTTAGGCACGACGCACAAAGAATAGAAACCAAACTTCGGGCTCAGCAAAGAACCTGATTCAGTACCAAAACCCAGTGTTACAGGAAAAGGGGGCGGGTATACGATTGGCCTGGGAACACTTGTGAACGCCAAATGTTCACGGCAGGAGGCGGATATAATGGGTTGGAGAGGGTCTCCTCAAATTTCAAGTCTACCTAGAACAGTGATCCTCAACCTGTGGGGTCGCATATCGGATTCCTGCATATTATATATTTACATTATGGTTCATAACTAGCAAAATTACACATATGAAGTAGCAACAAAAATAATTTTATGGTTCGGGGGGTCACCATGGCATGAGGAACTGGACTAAAGGTCTGCAATGTTAGGAAGGTTGAGAACCATTGTTCTGGAAGCTGTGAGGATGTCTTTTATGGGAAGGAGGTTAGAGACATGCTCAAGAGAGAATGACGTGTATTATGTGCTACATTAGACAACATAGTCTCATGGCTAGAGTTCTAACAAAGGGGAGTTAGGGCACAGAGATGTGGGAGAGACCACTGTGTGAAGCCAAGAGACACACAGGCACATGTCACATGAAGATGGAGGCAGAGGTCAGAGTGACAAAGCTACACACCGGGGCATGCCCAGGGCTGCTCAGGAGCCAGGGAGAGGTAGGTGGTGGTCCTTGGAGACCATAAACACCCATATGTATGTATGTAGAAGCATTATGTATCTAACTTCCAGAACTACTAAGGAAGTTGTTTTGTTTAGATCCACTTCGTTAGGGATGATCGCAGACACCCATGCAAGGACCAAAAGCCAGGGCCAGGTTACACACAAAAATATATGTGCTGGCAGGCGGCAATAGAGGATGTTTTAGTGGTGTTTGATGTTTGGGCAGGAGCTTAAAAATCAGAACTGAACCTAGACGGCTTCTGGGAGGAGCGACTTGAACAACTCCTTTTCCATCTTCAGGTCCATTTCCGTGCCTGGAGCAGGGCCTGCAGACAGTAGGTCAACAGGAATGTTCACTATCTGCATGGCCTGTTCTTTCTCAGTCTGCTGAGCCTGAGAGGTGTGCATGCCAGACTCCTGCCCCCATCTCCCCTGCTCACACTGTATGCGCTGGGCCTTTGTCTTGTTCCCGATGGCTCGTGCTCTCTTTCCCAGCTCTACTGCTACAAGTTGTCCTCCCGCGACAGGACAGACCCGCTTCTATTCTGTTTCCCTGGGACACCCGATGCCCTGTGTTTTAGGGATCACAGTTCTGCACACAATAGGCACCCACTGAACACTGTCTGGAGATGGGGAACTGAACATGACTGGCCAGCTTGGTTGTAGGAATCTCGTGAATCCAGCTTTACTGAAAGAAGTAACCAGAGGCTGTGCTATTTGTTAAGTTGGCAGAGGAGCATCCGGAGTTTCGGAGGAACGTTATCAAGAGGGAAAGTCCACTCACTGAGCCATTTGCTAAGCTCCTGATCTCTTTGCTAGAGGCTGCAGCTTTACCCCAAGTATAACCCGAGAGTGCGATCTCTTGCCCCTCACCAGCAGCCAGAGCCAGGGAAATAAGAACCAAGTGTCAGTAAGTAGGGTAGGGACTCATGTTTGCACATCGTGTTTGTGCACTGCACAATGCCCAGCATGTACTCAAATGCCAGTGCTGACGATAGGCTTCCTGAGGCCAATCCACCGGCCTCTGACCACCTTGCATTGGGCAGAGGTTTCTCTATCATCAGCTCCTGAAGCTTCAAGCACAGATAAGTCCTTTTGGTCACATGAGTCCAGCACCGTGGAGCAAGAGTTATTCTATAGTCTGGATGGTTGAACGTTCAGAAGCTTCCATGGCTCCAAGCTGACCACATCCTCGCCAAGGGAGTACTGCTGGCTGTTCATGCCACTTCTCTGCCAGTCCCTGGCCACCTTTCTCCAATCAAAGGTCTTTAGGGTATAGAGTGCGATGGTGGTGGCTCCAAACAACAGCTGACAGTCCTTGGGGGCATCTAAGGCTGGAACTGAGAGCTCAGCCAATCCAAGGGGCTCTGTATATCAGGTCTTCTCTGAGCAGCCATCGGCCTGTGTGGACATACAGCTGCACTGGGAAGTGTCTGCCATCCAGGCAGGAGACACACTGGTCTCTTTGCGGTCCTCTTTCTCGGGATCTGTACAGCTGGGTGGTGAGTGAGCCAGAAAACTAAGCACAGCCTTCCATGCCAGCTTGACACTGGGCATTAAATCCACGGCAGTTTGTGGACACAAAGCCCAGGTTACAGCTGGGAAGAGAAACCACAGGTCCTACAAAGAAGCAAAGCTGGCTGTGGTTAGCCTCTGATGCAAGGGTTCTGGTCTCAGCAGATCCTTAAGCACACAGGGATGAGCAGAACCGGAGAAACGGTAGGCAGTAGGTGGGCACTCTCCAGCAGAGCTTAGGATGCAAGCCTGGCCAGGATTAGTCCTAGAACTGGGACTTTCCAGAACTGTCTCAAGTTCACGATGTTCTCAGAACAATGATGGGAGGAAGGGAGCAGCGGATGCAGCCAGCGGCAACACATCCTGCCCACGGGGCCCATAATAGCCTTCAAAACAAACACATGCTGCTGTTCAGCCTTCAGTTTCTCTTGCATGGAGATATTTGGAAGTTTCCTGAGTCTGAGTCCTCAGAACAGCTGGATGCTTCCTCCTCTGGACCCCTGATTCCAGTTCAATCCTGACTAAGGAGTCAAATCAAAGTGGAGGGGGAGGAAAGGCTATGGGGTGGTGCAGGCTACTCTTGGCACACTCCTGAGAATACCCGAGTAGCTGGTTGCTCTGCAGGGGATGGCAGCCCGCAAAGCTGTTTGCTGCAGAACCCAAGACAAAGCAGTACCTGTTTGGGGTGCAAGGCCAGGCCTGTGTTCATCCATCAGGCAAGACATGCCTGAAATCATGACAATTCCAGCCCCATGATGAGAATCTGGAAAGAAGAGGTTCTCCTTCTACAAAGGGCTTGGCTGAGTGATTACTGGCCAGAAGCTCCATTGGGCCTGGCCTTCTAGGCCGTCTGCTTCAGTTTACACAGTGGGAAAAACTAGAATTATTCCTTCTTCCTGGTTTCAGCTAAAAGACAGACAGGAGGGCTAGAGCAGAGTCAGCAGACATACTTTCCCTGGTTACAAAGGACAATCCTAATTACACACACACACACACACACACACACACACACATTCCCACAGAGATAGACAAACTGAGAGACCATCACCACCACCACCTCCTCCACCATCACCACCACCACCACCTCTCTCCCATCAGCCCAGGCAATGGAAAAAAAAGAACACTAAAATTCTGGCTTTGTCACATACAGACTTTACTGGGTAACTGGGAGATGTAGACTAGCTATGCAGGCCACAGACCTGCGATCAAAACAAGTCAGTCGGGAAACTGTTATCTGTAGAGCAGAACACCCGTGCCAGGGTGTCCCAAGAGCTCCACGGAGACAAATCCCTCCTGGTGGGCAAAACCACACTGGAGAATGGTAGGTCAGGTCCTGTTAGGGACGCCAGCTGGGAGTTGGCCCATGGTCATCCAAATCCCTACACACCCACTTCTCCTATTTCGTCTATCCCCCAGAATGGGTGCAAGGAGCGCACGTGTGTGTGTGTGTGTGTGTGTGTGTGTGTGTGTGTGTGTGTGAAAGAGAGGTAGACAGCTCATAGCCAAGGCACAGAGGAATGATCTAGAGGAAGAAGAGTCTAAGGATACGGTTGACTGGCTCTGCAGAGGACTGGGTCACGTGGCCTCTTCCCACCTACTGAAGATTCCTTTGCTGCCAGTGAGGAGGGCTTGCGGGGACTTTTGGGCGCTGGGCAGGGTTCTGGGCATGAAGTGATGGGAGGGGTGAAGGCCTGCTGGTGAAAGGGAAGTAGAGTTGGGGTGGGGCTATCTAGATCAGTTCTAGGTTCTGGGGAGACCCTCAGTCTGGCAAGGCAGAGGATACTCTGGTCTTCAGCCTAGAACCATCTATGCCCTCCCACTCAGCCTGGGCAGATGGCCCTGCTCAGAATGAGGCAGCTGACAAGGGACATGGTAAGACGCAAGACAGGTCAGACCTGGTACTCCCAGCCTGCTCCTGTAGGTCTTACTTGTACAAGGTAAGGGAGCTGGGGACCCTGAACACCGACAGCAGCAGACAATTGGACGGTGCCAGTTGGGGGCTCCTGACAGTGACTCTTGGACCCAACCTGGCCCTTCTAATGCCTCTGTGAAGCTCAGCTGAGCCAAGGAACAAAAAGGCTATATTTTGTTTAAAAAAAAATGTGTTTCATAAAAAAACAAAAAAAAAAAACCAACCAGAAAAAACCTAGTTCTATTAAAGAATATACATCAACATTATTTGCTCCAGGAGACACCATTTCCTGGCAGGCACAGGGTTGCCTGGTGCACAGCTCCTTCTCCTTAGCTGGTGGCTTCACTGGAGAAAAGCTAACACGTTCAGATCCTGAGGGCAGAGAGGCCTTAGAGGAGAAGTGTCAGCGCCTCACACCCCGTGGGTCTAGCTCTGGGAGATGTTATGACCCACTTGGTTAACAGGTGCATTAAAGAGGCCATGGGCTAGCCAGGCCCTTCCTGGGAAATGGAATGGAAGACCTGGGGTCCTTGAGCCCTTCATGCCCTAGGGAGGCAAGGTAGGGCCTAGGTTTTACTCTTAGAATTGAAAGAACAAAGAGATGCCGAAGGGACTTGGGTCAGGGCAGTCTGGACAACTGGGCTTACTGCTCTGATCACGCCTTGGGGCCTCAGCAGCCAAGTAGAGATTCCAGAGTGGCCTGGCACAGGTACTCCCTTTAGCCCAACCTAGGTTCAGTAAGCCTTCCTTCCTGTACTGAGCTGGCAGAGACAGTGGATACATGTATGTAGGTGTCCCTTCCCTGGTGGACATTGTCCTTTGATCTCATTCCACCTTAGAGGTCAGGCCCTTGTTGAGCAAGGCAAGCTCACACCATTTCTCCTCTTTACAATCAGCTGGGCTGGGATGAAGCAGTTTGATTCCTATGATGCTCCCCATTCTCCTTCTGCAGAGTCCTTGTCCATCCCATAGCCCAGGAGGAAAAGGAACAGTGTGGTATTAGGACACAGGGTCCAGGCTTCCACTTCCATTGGTGGTCCTTGTCTTGCAGGTAGAACCCACACATTCACATACAGCCTCTTCCCCGGGAGGGTATGCAGCTGCAGGCACAGTATAGGTTGGAAAGGGTAAGTCAAAAGAGACTGGGGGAGGTTTGGGTAAGTGTGTCATGGTCTTGGATATACTGCAAGATGTCCATTTCATCCATAGCTTGGATCTGTTGCTGCTTCTGTGGTCCAGGCCCAGTTTCTGATGGGCCCACAGAGGCGGGCACAGTTGGTTTTCTGGGCAGTGCTGGCTTTGCTGGGACTAGAGGCTTGGGCTTAGTCTGGGGCTTGGGTTTAGGTTCAGATCCTAGGTTCAGAATCTGGTCCAGGTCCTCTTCAACTCTAGGGAACCAAAGAGAGCAGTCCTGGAATATAACTATATCCATGAAAGGAATAAGAGCCTGGAGTAACACCATCCCCACATAGGCATGGGATAGCTCCCAGCTCGCCTCATGCCAAGGTATCGCTTGCTGGACCATCCACCCAGCACTGAGGAGAAGCCCAAGGGCAGGTCTTTCTGACCCTCCACCTCCACAGCAGCCAAGGCAGAGGCAGACCCTTGGTGATGACTTCAGGCCTGCTGGAGTCTTCAGGGTACCCAGCCCTTTAGAAATAACTGCCTGCTGTCTGGTATAGACTCCTGACCTCCACTGAGCATTTGGGAATCATTATCTCTCTCTCAAACCCCTACTTCCAGGAAGGATATACATGTGTCTATTTTATAGACAGGACTTCCAGTCTGAGAGGCTGGGTGGCTCACTGAGAGGGCACTAGGTCGCAGTTGTGGTGAGTCACAACCTTGTCCTCTGACCTGGGAGGCACACCGTGAAGCTAAATCAGCTCCACCCATTGAAGCAGTAAACATGGATGCTGAGCTGCTGTGGGACAGGGTCTGCTGGCTGAGGTACAGCTCTGAGTCACTTGGGTTCTAGAGAGAGCCGAGGCTGGAGTGGACTCAGCCAGGACTCATCAGGATTGGGTCATGTGAGTCTGGAGCAACGACTCAGCACCCAGGTGTTATATCCTCAGCGCTCACAGGGAGGTTCACAACTACCTGTCACTCCCGTCTAAGGGAGTCCAATCCCTCTTCTGACCTCTGAGAGCACGGTACACGTGGTGCAGAGAAATGCAGGCAAAACAGTCATACAAAGTAATGCAATAAAAATTTCCAGAAAGATTGGGTGATGGCACAGTCCTCGGATGGCCCACTGGCTGACGGGACTGAGGCTTCAGTAGTGATTGGAAAGGAAGAGAGCAAGCCAGACGGCCCACTGCTCACCCGTTCTTAGCCTGGGGGAGCTCGTGTTGTAAGTTTCCAGCAGCGGAACTTGATCTCAGAAGCAGATGTGCAACACAAACCTCCCTTGACACCCCCCCCCCCTTAGCCCGCTCAGTACTGTGATAGACACAGCAGGCCAGGCACTTCCGCACTCTTCAGTTTGTCTGATGCACTCTCAAAATACTGGGAGCAGATAGATACAAACCCCGTTTTACTGAGGCTTGGATTCCATGGCTAGGGTGACCCACAGGAGGCTGGCTTTCTAGAGAGCAGTTGCCTTCCTGGGAATTCCTGCATAGAGGTCCCTTCTCCAGCTTCAGAGAGGGGCTGTCCCCAGTGCTGATAGTTATCTCCACAGGTGTCCTTCAGTCATGCCAGGCTAAGTGAGTTCAGCACAGCTGTGGAAAGCAGAGGACCTGGGAAGCCACTTAGCTTCTCCACGTTCTGGTTCCTCATCTCTAGGAAGGGGAGGGGAGCATTAGCGCTTACAGCAGACCTGAGCAGATCCAGCAGCGCCTCAGCAGGTGGCCACACTCAGGGTCTCTCGGTCTGCCCACCTGTAGAGGAGGGGCTGGTTCGTGCTCCTCTAACCTTACAGGGACCCTTGTAAGGACCAAATAAAACAACCCTACAAGTGCTTCGTAAATCTAAGAGCATACTGCACACACTGACTTGGACTGACAGTCAGGGAATGTTAAACAGAGCAGGGAGCAGCTATAATAGAGCCACTGCCTCACTCCTCCCGCAGGGCACCCCCCCGACTCGACTGACCAAAGAGGATCTGAATAATGACAGGGGCCAAGTAGCAGTCACTGATGGTTAGAGAAGATAAGGAAGGGTTCCTATGGAAAGGAGGAAGAAAGGTGGCCCTGAGGTGACTTGGCAGGATCCTGCAGAGGAAGTGCCAGAGAGCAAAGGCTGGGAACAAAAGGACCGAGAACAGTATGAGGGAGGATGTCTTTCCTGGGTGGTGTGACCTTGCAGAGGAACAAGAGTACCCCAGTAAGGACTGAGGTGGGGGAGGGAGACAGGAGTGGACAGAGGAGCATTCGATCTGAACAATGCCCTGGTCCTACAAGGCCTGAAAGAGTCCTGAGTGCACACAGAGCAGTGAGGAGAACTAACTGCCTGTCAGGAACCAGCGGCTTGGGAGCTCTGGGTTGCCCTGCCTGCATTCTGGGGTGATCATGGCTTTCAGAGCCTGCTTGTGGTGGGGGGAGCCAGAGAAGTGAGCAAAAAGTCTAGGCACAGAGGGAATGGTTTGGCCAGCTTCTAGAGAGATCAGGCACATAGGGAGAGGGAGGGAGGTGTTCTCACCCACGGGACGGCTGCTCCTGCCAGTCTCTGCTGTGATATCTTTCAGCTTTCTTCAGGCAGCCATTGTGTCTTGACTCACTGGGTCCCGAGCTTGCTTCCTTTTGTCCTCGAGAGGACATCAAGAGTGCCCACAAAAAGCTCAAAAGGGCAGAACTATATTCAGAGTTCTTTGGAAAGCCGGACAGCAGCTAAAGGACTGAGACCGATTTCAAGCATAGCCACGACTCTCTGGAGCAAGTCGCAGCAGGGTCTGCTAAGGTTGGGAGGGGTGCCCTGGGTGGCCAGCCACAGCACGGCCAGCATCGCCACTCTTAGCGTATGGATGGTGATATGGGCCCCTCAGATCATGTCTAACATGAGGTTCAGCTCCTTTTTCTTCCAGACCCAGGTGGTATGATGTCCTCCCTCCTCCTTCCTAAGCCCCCACGAAGGGCAGAACTCAGCTACAGATTCACTTTGAGACCTGGGACAGAAGTTTCTTGAACTCTGCTTGGTTCACTCAATAACTCCGACATTGCAGCCTCAGGAGAACTAAAGCTGAGGTAAGTGGCTAAGAGAGCGACGGAGGAGTGGAAGCCCTCCATCAAAGGGAGTCCAGTTACTGCCTCAACAGGAACAAGGCAGGCACAAAGAATAATAAATTCTGGCTCCTGCTCCCAAGAAGCCAATTCTTCACCACCAGATGTCTGTTAATAAAGGCAGGGATGCAAAGCCCACATTCTCCGAGCCGTGATTCCCAGGGGGCTGTGCAAGACTGGGAGGCATAATGAAAAGGAAGGGTCCCAGGGACCAATAAGGCCATGAAATGCTGCGTGACAGTGTTTGCTTGTGCATAAGCCTGCTTAACGCGGATGTCAGCTGGCCACGGCATCCTGTGGCAATCGCCTTGAGACACCCACGGATCAGTGAACGTGGGACGGAAAGTAAAGGTTTATGGTATGCAGGGCTGCCCCACCGGCATATACCCGGCCGCCAGACTGCCCCATGCCTCAGTTTCCTCCCTAATGGGATAACTATGATCCTGGCTCCTCCCAGACAGCAGGATGTCAGGAGCCAGTACACACGATGAACGATGAGCTAGTGAACAGATGCCAGGGGCCTCTGAGAGGTGTAAATACCAGACGCCATCGAGGTGACTCAGGCTTGGCGGGCACTTAGAGGGCTGTGTAATAGCCCGGGGCTGCTAACGAGGGGTGCGGTGCGGATGTCAGCCTCCAAGGACCACAGGCTTCAGCACTATCTAAACTGCTCCTGGAAAGAGGCCGCTTGGCTTCGTTCATATCACCAAGCACGCTGCATCCTGGAGAGGCGTGGATTGGGAGGTAGGGACACCACAGTGGAAGCAACTGGAAGGAGGGTGTAGCACAAGAAGTCAGGGAGACCCCACAGCCTGAGGCAGGAAGGCAGGTCTCCCTGCCCTTCTTTTCCAAGAGCTCAGTCAGGGCTTCCACTGGAGCTGAGAGGTGATTACCTAGGTTGACAAGAGTGGTGGCCTTGGGCAAGTGATCTTTCCTACACTATTTTCTGTAACTGTGGAGAACAGCACCCATCGTAGGGGCCGTGGGAAGGGTAAATAAAATTACCTGTGGTGAGGCAAACCTCCTACAACTCTGAACACACAGCAAGCTCTAAGGAAACAGACAGTATTTCTTTCACATCTGACATCAACCTTCAGGTAATAGATTAATCCTGAAATTCTCTGCCCTCTGATAGGGCCCTCCTGGAGGGCTGGTCATTGTTCTCTCTGAACACGAAGTATATCAAGGGTCAGTTTTATTTGTTCCCCAAGCCACCTATGCCCATTACACTTGCTCATGAATTAGATAGTTTAGTCATGCTATTCCCTTAAAGGAGCTATTAAAATGGACGCGTGAAAAGGAAAGGAATGTAATTCTCTGGGGAACCAGTGGGGCTGCCCTGGTTGCTGACAGCCTTCCCCCAGAAAATCCTCGCTCCCTTTTAGCCATGAGTGGCCGTGGCTGCAGGACTTGGCCAGGCCTGGATCCCTCCCTTGTCGGCTGAAGCTAGGAAAACACTCTCACACTTGGGTAAGAGCTACTGAAGTCTCTGGGGACAACAGTACCTGAACAGCTCCTTGGTGCTGTCTTTCCATGTGGGTCCTCCACTCTCGCTGGTAGTTGGCAGCAGTAGAGGGTCACCCAGGGAGACAGCACCGCCAAGGTCAGGGTCGTCAAACAGCTTCAGGGCTGTGGGAAGAAGGAGCAGAGGGTAAAAAGAAGGGCTGGTCTATCCTTGGCTACCAGACAGCAGGCCTGCTGAGTCTCCTATTGCACCCAAGTGAGCGAGCAAAGAAAGCAGAGAGGTGGGAGACCCCGTAGGCAGGAGGGTGAGATTCTTCCAGCTCTGTATGGTGTGAGGTGCCTGCCCACCTGGCCTGTCTCTGTTCCAGTCCTCCAGGGCTGTTCTCTGTTGGGTAAGTGGCTTCTCAGGATATTGTACCAGGCACCCCTGCAAAGTTCCAGCAGGAGTGGACCCCTGAGCTTGCCCAGAGGTACAAATGAGCAGGTGCCGAGGGCAGCCACCAGCCACAGATCTTGCCAAGGTCATGAATGGGGAGCGGGGGCAGCCAAAAGACACTAAGTGTTGATAGGACCACCTTCGGTAAGCCCAGGTCTTCTCAACCCTCTCCCACCTGAGCCACTCACGGCAATCCTTTGGGAGTGTCAATCATGTCTCTACTTGAAAGCATCTTTCCCCAGTGGAGCTAGCTAGGACCCCTGGCCTTTTGGGGTCCACGACTGTACTCCCTCCCAGGATGCCTGCTGTCCTATGGGAACCCTCTTTCTGCTCAGCCCTGAAAGAGACTTGTGGCTGTGCTACATTTTCGGGTGATGCTATCTATGTATCCCCAGCTTCCTGTGGGCTCTGAGATTTAAGGTTAGGGTCCGAGCTTGACCTTCCCTTGGTGGATGCTCACCAGGCATGGGATGAATCAGAAAGTTACCATCGATTCTCTCTCTGGGGAAGAGAACCTGGTCAGGCATGAGGAGGGTTCAGAGAGAGAGGTGGAGGAGTCCCAAAGCAACTGAGCCCTCCCTCTGAACCCTGCACCATGCCTTGCAGTAGAGTCTATGGGGGTGGCATGCAGTCATTCAGATTAAACACTTTACAGAGTAGCATGCACTCCCAAGGTGGGCCAGCATCCTCTTTCCATTAAACAGTTCTACAGAGGTAACCAGGGAACTATGTCTTTAAGCAACCAAAAAAAAAAAAAAAAGTCATTCTCTTCCTGTATAGGACTGGAAGGTATAGGAGGTGTGTAGAACCTCATACACTGGTTATGAGGTTCTAATTGGCCAGTATAAAATCCCTACATACCTAATCTGTATTTCATCTAAACAGGACAAAGATGAGAAGAGAACCACTTGCTCGGGGATACAGGCAGTCAACAAACTCTAGGCCAAAGCAGGAACAACAACAGTACTTACAGTCCTGTGTGGTCTCCAGAGGTCTCTGGGGAGATGCCTTATTGCCTGGGCTAAAGAGCCCTGCGTCTGGGTCCACCTCCTCATCAAAGATGGTGAGCCGAGGTGAAGGTTTGGGCCTTATGGCCACTTCTGGGCGTTTCTTGGGCTTCTTGGAGCTGGAAATAAAACACAAGGTAAGGTGTCTCATGAGTGCACAGGTGGCCCACTGGTCAACCCCAGGTTCCCAGCTTGGCTGGGACTGTCTGGAATTCAAGGGCCATAGAAGAGAGGGTCAGAAGAGGACCACAGGAAGATCTGGGACAGCCCAACCAGAGCAATCTTAGAAGGTGGAGCAACCTCAGTGATCCTCAAATCTCCAACCCACAGGTCCTCTTGACCCAAGAGAAGGACAATGAAAAGAAAAAAAGGGCGTGAGCATGTACCAGGAATGAGCTTTGCCAAAAATCTGACAATCGAGTAGAGAGTCGCTGATGGCTTGAAGCAGTCACAATCTATGCTCAGGTGTGATGGGCACTGGGAAGGGTAGGGAGAAGCGAGGGGCTCTCTGGATTAGTCACTGATGGCCAGATAGTTCCTAACTCAGATGGTCTATTCAGGTGTCATGCTATCACGTGACCATGGGCCTGGTAACATGCTTCTTTTCTCAAGGTGAGGTTACCTGTGAGGTGTCTCCTGGGGCCTGAGCTCAGAAAGCTGGACTTCCCAGCCACTTGGACATGGGGCAGATGTGGTCTGTGGCTCAAAGTTCAAGGGACAGGGCCCAGAAGGTAGGAAGAGGCCTGTTAGTGACTTTTCTTCTTTCCATAACAAAATTAAAGTGAGATTTCCCGCTGTATGCTATTAATATGTTTTATTACCACTGGTTAATAAAGAAGCTGCTTTGGCCTATGGCAGGGCAGAATAGAGCTAGGTGGGAAAACTAAATTGAATGCAGGGAGAAAGAAGGCGGGGCCAGGCGCTGCTGGGGAAGCAGGATGTGAGGTAACACCACGGCCACGTGTCAATACACAGACTAATAGAAATGGGTTAATTTAAGATGTAAGAGCTAACTAGAAATACGCCTGCGTCATCAGCCAAACCGTGTTGTAATTAATTTAGTTTCTGTGTGATTATTTGGGTCTGGGCGGCCGGGAAACAAAAGCACAGTCTCTGCCTACACAAAATACCTAACAACAACACAACACAATACAATGCAACACAAAACAACTCCAGGAAGGCAGGGATTATTTGGATTTATGGTTTGAGGGTACAGTCCACCATGGTGCCAAAATCAGGGTGACAGGAGTATGACGTGGCTGATCACACTGTAGCCATAGCCAGGAAGCCAAGAGAGATAAATGTCAGTGCTCAGCTTTGTCCCTTTCATGAAGCCTGGGACACCAGGCCATAGAATGGTGTTGCCCATATTTAGGGTCGGGTTTCCAATCTCACTTAGTCCAATCGAGAAAAATCCTTCACAGGCATGCCCGGAGGCTTGTCTTCTAGTTAATTCTAGATCCTGTCAAGAGCCAACAATAGTAACCACCACACGGCCTAAGGCTTTGTTTCCCACACATGTCCTTCTCTCTATAGTGCACCTGCTGCCCTTCCAATGCCGCGGGTCCCCAGAGCGGCCTACTCCTCTGTGACATTCCTCTGGCAGCAACCCAGCCCGGTTCTGCTACACCTGTTCACTAACTGATATGCTCTTGCCCTGAGATGCTTGCAGCCGGAAACTGGGAGTCACTGGGAGGCTTCTGGGGTATGCCACGGTTTTTGATCCAGGTGGACAAGGCAACCTTCATAGAGTTAGATCACATGATCTGGGTTGCCTCGTGACACTGCCTCCACATCAGAATCTTGGTTTTATTTTAACAAGTTGACCTCATGCCTGCGGGCTGCTGCCCACATTAGCCGGTTTAAGATTCCTGCAAACAGCAAGGTTTTTTCTTTCTTTCTTTTCTTTTTTCTTTTTACTGGAAACTGGGATTGCTTTCGCCTGAATGCCTGGCAGCCAGTTCCACTGCAGTGAGGTCAGGTCTGAGCTCATGCTGGCAAGCTGCACAGAGGCTGGCCGTTGCCAAAAATTGTAGCAGGTCTTTGGGTGCTGCAAGGCCAGGGACTCTGAGCTGACTATTCCCACCGTCTGGAGGTAGATCTATGTGCTGGCTAGTTTTTATGCCAATTGGACACAAGGTAGGGTCATCTGGGAAGAAGGAATTTTAGTGGAGACAATGCCTCCATCAAGTTGAGTAGGTAAATCCATCGGCCATCTTCTTAATCAAAGACTGATATGGGAGGGCTCAGTTCACTGTGGAAGGTACCACCACAAGGCAGGCGGTCCTGGGTTGTATAAGAAAGCAGGATGAACAACCACAGAGAGCAAGCGTGGGTCCATGGCAGCAGCACATTCCTCCACAGCCTCCCCATCAGTTCCCACCTCCAGGTTCCTGCCTTGAGTTCCTGCCCTGGTTTCTCTGGATGATGGATGGACCACAAGTTGTAAGATGAAATAAACCCTTCCCTCCCCATGCTGATGTTGGTCATAGTGTCTTATCACAGTGATAGAAATCGTAACTAAGACACCAGCCTAGCCTACAGTCACAGATGAGAGCGGAGAAGCTGTGGAAGCCAGGAAGGGGCTTATCTGGAAGGTCTCGGCGCTCTGGGTTACACCTATCAGGTCAGCCTCGTTGGCCAGATAGAGAAGCAATGGTTCAGAGGAGTTGAGTGTCTGGTGGAGGCCACACAGCAGACTGAACACTTTAGGTCTGCCTGCAAGGTGGTTATTACTTATGATCCCATGCTCTTGCTCCTTACTTTAAATGTCCCATGAATAAGACTGACCTTGCTCTCCTCAGGAGAGGAAGGGACACATTCCAAAGGCAACGGCAGCATCTGTGTCCCTGTTCTAGTATCTGTACTTTGCCCATCAACACTGGCCACCAGGATGAAGTGCTAAGCTCTGCCTATGGTGCTGGGGTGAGCGAACGGAACCAGTGTCTCTAGCCTAACAGTGTGCATCCTCTGGAAGCCCAAGCTCCAGCTCCTCTTAGACCCTGCAGTGTGGACTCAGCTGTTCCTCATGGGGCTGCTCCCTTCATCTTATCCCCTAATAGGGGATGCTAACAGAGGCTATGGTCCTAGCAAGGATGGACCATAGTCCAGACTCCCTGTGCCCAATGCCTGGAGGTCCCTGGGAGCTGAGAGCCTTTCTCTGTGGGACAGAACCATCAGTTGGGTTTGGGATCCCCTGGACCAGCCTTGGAGGATGGGAAGAGAAACTTGGGCTCTGTTCCATCACCAATATATCCCTTACTCACCTATGCTAACATCGTCTGCTTGGTTCCTGGCCCTGGACCCATCAGGCACCACAGCAGTGGTGGGCAGAGAACTCCATCTACGCCCATGCCAGCACCAGCTCCAAGAAGGCAGGCCTGAGGCTGCTCCTCAGCCATTCCCGTAGCTTTGTCCTCTATGCCCTGGACTTCCCAACTCAGAAACCACCTTCTCTGGGGATCAAACTCACAGGCTACCCAGTCAAAGGCTCAGAGGGCAGGGAGGCAAAGTTCCCTATGGATCGAGATCAGCAGGAAGCAGAGAGGACACACAGGAAGCCAGGTGAACTTCCAACCATTTCCCTACTCCTTCCCAGGCTGACTCGACAGCACAAATGATACTTGACTGTCCTTCTGGACAGGTTTCCTCTCAAACAAGAGTCACATCTTTGTCCTCCTTGATGATGCCTGTGATTTTTGCTAAACTGAAAAGAAGCAGATGTTCAGCACAGGAGCGCAGAGTCAGGCACTGTCTGCACTTTGCCCCACCCCTCCGAGCTGCCCTGCCTCCGATTTTTCAGCTTTCCCATGGGAAGACAAGACATCAAGGGATCTGGAGCTTTGGGACCTGGAAATCGCTGAGTCTTGTCTGATTGGTCCGGAAACTGCAGAAAGGTATTCCGTAAATACTAGAAGGACGAAGGCAGGCAGGCAGGCAGGCATGCACACATGCAGGCAGGCAAGCAGGCAGGCAGGCAGGCATGTGTGCACACATGCAGGCAGGCAAGCAGGCACGCATGCATGCATACAGGCATTTGTCCTCTGTTGTAGCTGGACAGTTATCAGATAGCTGACTGAAGAGGAGGGAAGGAGAAACAGGCAGGCAGGCAGAGTTATAACACATCTCTAATTCAGACTCTTTCTACTTGTCCCAGGAGGAGACAGGGAGTGAGGGTCACAGCATCAATCTCAGCGCTATCTTTGCAAAGCCTTTCTCTAGTCCATCACTGCTATCCCAACCATGCCCCCTGCCAGCCTTTCAGCTGCAAGCGGCCGGTCCCTTGGAGCCCCTCCTATGAGCAGCACTCACCAAGCTCCTCCCACACAAAGGTGCCCGCGTGAGGTGATGGGACAGACATTCTCCAGATAGGCGCCCGTTCCCAGAGGCTGTGAGCTGAGCAGCCAGCCACAGCTGGAGCACCGAGGGTGGAGTCAGTGGAATGGGGTGGCTGACCTGGTGGGCTGAGGCCAGAAGAGTGTCTCTAGCAGACCGAAAACCAATCACTCTGCATAACCAGGAACATATACCCCTCTAGGTGATGGTGGGGGGGGGGAGGGGAAAGCAGTTCCTCATGGAACTTTGCTCATAGACCATGGTCTGGCCTGAGGAACAAAGCGGCAGGAATGGCAGGCGAGGCTGGTGTAAGGGCCAGAGGGAGCTAGCTATATGATACCATTAAAAGATCTGTAACCTAAGTGATGGATGGATGGGATCAATCACTTCATCCGAGATTTGAGTCGCTGGAGCTCTGAGTGTTCCTCCTCCTGCGCTTCCTTAGGCCAACACCTCCACCCAGCTGTCCACGGACACTCAGTTCGCCTTCAGCACTGACAGGAGGCAAAGCTTCTGACTGATACAAGGTTTATTCTCTTTTTATCACCAGGGACTGGATGGGGTCGGCAGCCCCTGACTTCCTGGTGGACCCGTGCAGATCCCAAGGGCTACCTAAAGAGGCATCTCGTCCCGCTGGCTGTGAGAGGTAGGGAGAGGCCCCTGCATGGCTGCAGGCATGTGTAAGCATGTTCATGCTCGTGTGCAGACTCCGGTTCTCCTGCTGCGTGCCTGACAGGAGACAGATGCACAGCCGGGCCGTGTTCGAGGCAGGCATGTAGCACGC